GCTCAATCTCGAGAATGAGAACGTGCAGTATCACCATAATGGAATACAATACACCACGCTACAGCCGGATTCGATTTGAGCCTCTCCTAAATCGCAACGCGGCTGCCATTCTTTGATGGTTATGAGGCAACAGATATCGGTACTGTACGAGGCCCCCGGTGTTGCTCAGAGAAAACTAATAGTCTCACGTCCGTTACCTCTGGTCCTCCGATCCTATAGGTCTACTGGCATAGTTGTGTATGCGATGGCGTTGGACTAGAAGAGTGTCCCTTCACTGAGGATTCGTCTTTGTCTCAAAGCTAGGCGCTGCCCCATACCCGAAACGTAAGATAGCTTGTCCCACGTTTTGTCAAGCTCTTCCCCCGTATCCTTGTCTCAGCCATCAACGTGTCAAGACCACCTTGTCTGGTCTTTAGATAATTGGCGCTAATACTCGAGAATCGAGAGTCTGGACCCCTAGACCTCGAAATGTCTTGAAACGTATACACCTCGATCTTTGTTTACTCATTCGAATGAACTCGAGATAATGGACTCGAGATAATGAACTCAAGATATTGAACGCGAGATTCGCTGCTGCTAGCGAGGCTCAAGGAGCGACGCGGCGACTCTTTGTCAGAATGACGCTCATAAGCAGCGTCAAGGAGTCTTTAGTTGTGGGAGGAGCACCCATGGCTCCGGACCTCTTGCTAATACCCCAGCCTTAACTCTGTGACAGACTTTAGTTAGTCCTTTACGTGTATAAAGTACATGACAAGCCAGTACTTACAACATGGCTACCTTTTCATATATCTCGACGGACTCCATCCTACGGCACCCTACCGCCTTGCCTTTCCCAACCCAGGCAGGCATCGTCTCTAATTGCGAATCATGGATGAGAGCTTTCGACAAGGGCGACTTTTGTGCCTGGTTCGCAGGTCGCGGTAATACGGTCCCACGCGAGTTCTATAAACTCAACCCCTTCCTTGGTCTCAACGGCGAGAACTGTAACACCCAATTCTGGGCCAGCTACTGGTACTGTGTCGGAACCAGCAAGGACGGATCAGATGTGGTAGCCACCTCGGCCGGCATTCTAACTGTATCGACTTCGCTACCGACTACCAAGACTGACGCTCCCGCCGTCACCACAAAGCCTACAAGTGCTCAAGCCCTTGGTACCACCACGCCTACGTCTAGTGATTTTACACAAACTTCCAATACTGCTCAAACTGTGAAGCTTTCTTCAGTTACCCCGGCAACTTCCTCCGCTGCAGCCGGATCGACTAGCATCGTCGCCCCAGCCGGATCGACTTACCTCGGCTGCGCAGCCGAACCATCCAACGGCCGTGCCTTGAACCTCCTCAGCACAGCCGGAGCCGACATGACCATCGAAAATTGTCTCGCCTTCTGCAGCAAAGCCGGCTTCCCGGTAGCCGGCCTCGAATACAGCAGCGAGTGTTTCTGCGGCAACGCCCCTCCCGCGAAACTAGACCAGACACAATGCAGCATGGCATGTTCCGGAAACAAGGCCCAGATCTGTGGTGGCCCTAACCGTCTGAGCGTCTACCAGAACAACTCCCTGTCCGCGCCCGCCATCCCGCAGACGGTGGGCGGCTCCACATACCAGGGCTGCTTTGATGAGAGCAAAGGTCGCGTTCTGTCTAGTACCATGATAGGTTATGATGACCTGACCGTGGATAAATGTGTTGGGTACTGTAGCGACAAGGGATTCCCGTACGCCGGTGTCGAGTACGCGCAGGAGTGTTGGTGTGCTAAGGATATGAAGAGCGGTGCGACTAAGATGAGTGATCTCCAGTGTAACATGAAGTGCAAAGGTAACGGTGGGCAGTTCTGCGGTGGCTCTGGCGCTGTCGCTGTCTATAAGAAAGGTGATGCTAAGAGGGCTGTGGAAATTAGACATGAGAGTCCGACCGTGGTGAAGACTATTCGTATGGTTAGGCGAGGAAGATTCGGACGTAGGGAGACTGGTCTCTGAGGGGTGGCTCGCACAATCCCTTTTATGGAATCATCATTGCCTATTGTGCCATTCTCTAGAGTAGGCTACGCCCAATCACATTTACAGGTATCACTCACCTCAAATGCCATAAGGGCGCTCATCAATTGTGCAAGGCAAGCAATCAGTAGCGCTTCTTGAGGTGCTGGGACAAGAGAAACTGCAATATATGTCGCATATCATATGGGAACGCATGAGGTGTCTCTCTCATACTGCTTTGCTAAAATACTGCACCACCTAATCTGCATTCCGCTCTGTCGTCTAGGAAGGCATAGTTCAAAGTACTGACTGTTTATTATAAACTATAACCTAATACTACAGTAGAAGGCAAACTGAGTGTCGCTAATTTCATGAATAACTTTTTTAAAACAGGCTCCACTTCCTGACACCTGTGGCTGTGCACGCCTTGCCTGTTGTACCTAAAGGTACCACCACCAGCACTGCTAAATTGATTAGTCATCGAGCGAAGCCAAAGTCAGCCATCTGTATACATCCTCCCGTTCTTCCTCTTCTTTCCACCCTCCAGAGTCAGCGTTTCGTGTCAGCCAGCAATGGCGCCTCAACAGGAGGACCGGTGATTGCTCTCAGAAGTTACGGCTGCGCAATACAGTACTGTAGCATAACTCGGGCTTGGCTGTCATCTGGCGATCACCCTTCCTTGGTTGCACGTTGGATCGTGCGGCTGAGTTACGCTGAGCCTCGTGGAGACTAACCATTCGGCGCCACTAACGAATACGGAGCTCAAGGCTGCCTTTTACTGCTGCGCTACAATTAGGTAGTAATACCTTGAGTCAGCAGATGCAAGCAACTTCATCAACACTTACAACGCCTAGTGCTCCGTTACGCTTTTCCCTTTCCTGAAAATACCCAATACAAGATGGTGCTGCAACTCAAAAACTACCGGTATCTCTGGCAGCGCTCGCTGACATTCACGCTCTCCTTATTAGGGTTTCGAAACTGCCGAATTTCTTTCGGCTTGTGGTTTCGCTTAATCAGAGACGAGCTCATTGAAGCGCATCAGGATTCTAAAGTGGGTCACCATGTTGACGCAGCTCGAGACGATCATAAGATGCTAACCCAGCTCCTAAGGATGTCACACTTAACAACGTAGTCTACACTCCCTTGAGTAATTCTGGTATTCGCGTTCTGATACTAGAGCCTGGAAGTTGGGCAGATCCTCTGAAAGCAAGCCTTAAAGAGAAGAATTTACAAGACACTATGACTCCATATGAGGCCCTCTCATATGCTTGGGGTACCTTCTCACTGTCATCTAACAAAGGTATTCGAATCCAAGACTCGATCATGCCCATAACCTCCAATCTGGACGAGGCTTTGCGATCGCTTCGCTCGGAACAGAGCCAAAGAGTGATATGGGTAGACTTCGTTTGCATCAATCAATCCAACTTGCAGGAAAGGGTTCACCAAGTGAGGATGATGGGCGACATTTATCGACAGGCCGAAAAAGTCATTGTTTGGCTCGGAATGCCAACATTCGCATCCGAGTTAGGAATGAAGACACTCACTTTCTTTGCTGGGAATGAGGATCTCACGAAGGGTAGCCCGTGGGAAGCCGACGCTCCAAAAAATATTGTTGCAGCGATTAATGACATATTTGAGCGTCCCTACTTTGAACGAATATGGGTCGTTCAGGAAGGCGCGCTTGCACGAAAGACCGACCTCTGTGTTGGACAACTCATAGTCTCGTGGGACCAGGGTAGTGCTACATCTAAGTTTCTCAGCCGCCTCAAGTTCGTCCAGATCTCCCCTACTTGGGAGTATAGCGGGCTTCGTGGCGTACGCCTGGAACCTTTGATAGATATGCTCACAATATCACACCTAGCCCTGGCGAGGGCAAGGGGATTTGAGGTCAGAGCAACCATCATCGATGTACTTCATGATATGCGGCATCGAGAATCCACTGATCCTCGAGATATGATATTTGCATTGCTAGGATTGGGACTAGAGACGTATGGGGTCATGGCCGACTACGAGATATCCAGGGAAGAAACCTATCGGCGGCTTTTCGAGGGGTTGAATCAGGCAGCGCAGCAAGAGATGAACGAGCTTGATGCGACAAGTCCTTCATCGATGTAATCATGCCTCACCATACTTTCCATATTGGCGTCATCACCTTCCGGACTGCGCTGAGCACCAGTCCAGGGTTATCTTTAGCTGAGAACACTTCTGCGCGGACTGAAAGGAGCTAAATTTAGACTCAGAACCGAGCCACAAGCTGGCTAGTATGGGATTCAGAAGTAAATATCATATAAGTAATCTAGCCAATGCCTTATTGGTTCGAACAAAGTGGGCCATGCTTCTGGTTGAGGCTATTAGCTTGGTCTCAAACTTTTCTTTTAGTAACTAATGGTTTGATCAAAACATGCTGTGCAGCACCCAGTTGAGGCGCCATTGCGGGCTGACACGAAACGCTGACTCTGGCGAGGTTGAAAGAAGAAGGAGGAACACGAGGATATGAGGACAGACGGCTGACTTTGGTTCCGCTCCCTGATGACTAATCAATTACCAAATCAGCAGCGGTACCTTTAGGTACACCCTGACAGGGATGCACCGCTACAGGGTGCTAGAAGTGGAGCCAGCCTAAAAATAATTAAAAAACTCGCGATACCTAATTCGCCCTCTACTATATTATAGTTTATATATAATTAAAACTGCTAAAATACAATTTTATAAATTATAATAGCTTAGCTATAGTTAGTTGCTACGCTAACGTTATTTTAATATAGCGCTCGTACGCCTTAGCGTTTTATAAGCTTTTCGCCGCTAAAAGCGGGAAAAAACTTTTTTTCTTTTCTTTAAGAATAAGTTTATAAATAATATTACTTATTACTTAATATTGATTATTTAGTTATTATATAGACTTAAATATAATATTATATTATTTTATAAAGTTTAATTAATATTTTAATAATAAATCTAAAAGAGAAAAATTTATTAACTTATTTAAGAAAAAAGCTAACTAAGGTGAGGCAAAATTATAGCAAAAAGCAAATGCCCATTAACAGATTTGAACTATTGGCCTTTGCATATTTTGTAAGACATTCTTACAAGTGCAACGCTCTACCCCTGAGCTAAACGGGCCAGTGAATGAAACTAGGGTATCTAAATTTATATCACATGTACACGGTAGGATCAAGTCGACCTGTTAGAGAAGCTGTGGAAGGAGTTGTGGGAATGGCTCAAGAGTAGGTTCAAAGGATGCTAGCCAGATATCCGATGTTTAGCCGACCTGACCCCACCTTTAAAATCTGTTGCCTGGAAAAGCCGATGCCAGACAAGGCTAATGGATAACTAGATCATGTATAGTCAGACTGTCATCAAGCTTAGACCTAACCACCACTTGAGAGACGCTGAGGTATTGGTAAGGTCTTGGGCAATGTTCCTTTTCCTATGGTCCAAACTTCTAATGCTGTAGGGAATATATTGCTTCATATCATTGAGTTTTCAGCTGCTCTCTCGCCAATCTTTAAGACAAGTGCACCAACCTCTCTTATACGCCATTGCAGCAAGGACAAGACTGGTTTGTCAATGACACAGGGCTCATATCGTTACATCAATACAGATAAGCCAACGTTGAACTTCAATAACACGAGTTGAATATAACGGGGATCTTGAGGACGTCCCGTCCCATCCTTACATCGATACCATAGTATAATATATTCATATTCAGCCTTGGATGATATCTTGTCGAAACACTGCAGTTGACTGCGGTACGCTCGGAACTCCACCTCTGTTCAACTATGGATTGCGATCAAAATATCAGTGTGCCGGTCTCAATCCAACGATTAGATTGGTGAGAACTAGAATGACAGCCTCGCGCGCTGGGACATACTTCAGCAGCGTGTTCAAAAGCAAAACTTGAGCCGATCTCAGGCATGACATTTGGTTATACTTATAATGAGTCCATGTTCTTAGCAGCTTATCTGCACAAGAATGGTCCGCTTCAGCCAACGTCTATATACCAGCTTTGTGCCAGCGCATCAAAAGCAGCAGCAGGCCCTATGAACCACCAGTCACTCCTAAAGGACGGATCAAAGGGCATCATGATGCCCATGAGATAGACTGATGGCACGATTCTATAGGCAACTCACTTCACTCCCTGCTCGGTCTTTCTTCGGTCCAGTTCTGCTGGACGACCAACAGCCCCTTGTGGTACGTATTAGAGTTGATTTCAGCTGTAGCACGCGTGGACGACGACAAACAGTCTTCCGTCCAGCGTAACTTGAAGATTGAATCCGTATTACCCGTGAAAAAAGATCAGTAGGACAGACAGGACAACTCTAGTATTAGATCGGTTATTCGAATAGAATCGCCATGGGCAAGCTCATAAGACGATACTCGCGTCACGCCAAACACACTCCTCTAGTGTACCTACTGATTTCAGGTCGCCAATTTCTTGGGATCAATACAGACGCTGCTAGTAGAGAAGGAGAGACATTAGTCTGCCTCCGTATGACTGAGGCATGTGGCTTGGTGCATAGCAAAAGTCAGGATATGATCGACATGGCAACATACTGTGATCGTATACTACTAGAACACCAAATAAATTTTCCTATCCATAACGAGAAAGATGAGAATATGATTATATTGAGACTAATCGAGTTTGGATTGACGCGATACTGCCGAAATGGGATATCAGTGAAGTTGGTGCCCCTCGGTGTGAAAGTTGGGTAGCAAGGGGATTGGGCGGGATGTGCCACTTGCATCCGTTTACGCTTGGCTGAGGGCAAAACCCCCTTCACGTTGGAAGTCGTTTGATATTCTACCAAAGATTATGTAGTTGGTTGTTGATGGGGGTTTAAATTGTACTTGCAATGGCTATGTGTGGATGACTGCCGCCGAAAGACAGCACTGAGCTGTCTGCAGGAGGCTGACAACACTCTGCCGATGTACGTTTCCATTGCATTGTATCACACTGAGCAGATGATCCATTTTCGTAGGGCGTCACCCATCAACCGAAATCGATTCGGTCACTTTTCATGTTACCCCATCCAAGCTGGATTCAAGACATGCATCAACATGCTTCGACAGCTAGGTCGATAACGCAATCTGTTCGCCAAGTCTCCTCAGCACAATGGCTAAGTGGTTGTCAGCACTTGACCATCAGCTACCGAGGGTATGTACCTGCCATTCCGTCGCCTGATCAAGAACCTGCGATGACTTTTGGTTACTCCCACATGGGCTGTACCTATCTACTTACTCTCATGATCGTTATTTTATACCATATTTGATATCGTCATTTTAGATTGATCCTTGGCTATTCTTCGTCATGACCATCGTATCACTATCTTATAGCCTGCATCATGCTGTCCGCTACCTTTCGCTGCTGCCATATTGCACCTCCCTCTGATCACTACTGGTTCTAGGCAGTGGATCACCCCCGTATGACCGCTGACTGGCTTTGAGCTTCCGCCTATTCTTGGTTAAGTATGCTGATAAGCAGTCTTTCGAATAGTCTGTTAACACGTGAACACACAGAAGAAAGTCTTGAGGTATTATCAGGTGGCAATGCGGACTGCTGTCTGCGTAGAATCTATCAGATGATGTAAGCGCGGCATCGACGGGCTTCGGGTGCAACACAAGCAATGCTGGTAAACTCCCATACTAGTTCGAGGACATCTGAGTGAGAACACTTCTGTATCAATAGAATCTTAGATACACGTCTTTGTTAAACCCGTGTTATATGCATTGCCTTGATATTGGAGTGCGCTTTCTCCCAGATAAGACTTTCCATTGTACATCTCTCCAGGGGATGAGCGCAATAGACCCGGCTGTCCTATAAATTCTCCTTCGGACCTGTTTGAGCCACCTGATTATTTCTGTGTTCGAACCTGACGACGAATCTAGCCTTGTTTTGGGTGGTGATGGTCTGGTGATCCGTGGTATAGATCAACCAGAACAGCTTGGGTCGGCTCTCTCGCAGTGGTCACATCCATCTTACTACGGTAATCAGAGGAGACTTCGACCTCGACAGAAATCAAGAAGATTTCCCCAGAAATACTTGCTTACAGTCCGGACGGAGCAATGAGATATTGTGGTGCATGCTTTATGCATCACCCGATGATGCGGCAAGAGGCACACACCGCTACATGATAGAGGCCTTCTATTTGTTATTCATCACCCTGCTGGATACTGATAACTTCTTTGAAGTGACCGTATCATTGCAAAAATATCAGAGACAAATACACAGGCACCAACGCGGAGAACTCGTACTACTTGATGGTCCAGAGCACTGATATGGGCGGCACCAGGGGCGTCAGTGGAACGGGCAAGTTTAGAGTGGAAAACGACCTCAACAAAGCGTACACGAGCCGCGAGAATGACAAAGCGTTGATTACTGGAGAGGTCCGCTACCGGGAGAATGAGTACATGGTCGTTAACATCGACCCTGTCGACAGTTGGTACGGGTTCCAGGACGATGATTTCACAGAGATCATCACTGACTTCCTGAATATTCAGAGGTAGCTCTAGTAGTGCAACAGTGTCCCGCTTCCATGATAACTTTGTTCTATCCATGCCGAGGATTATTTCAGATGGTCGTTGTCGTTGGTAGGATTATGCCAAGGTAGCTATGGTATCTCTCCATACATGATAGCACCCATCTTAGCAAGTTCCCTCTAATTCTATGGGTAAATTAAAGCGATATGATCTCTTAGGACTCGCTTTGGCTCTTCCTTTACGGTCTTCATCTTTCTCGTACCCCCTTTGAACAACCTTCGTAGTCTGTTGGTCGTCAATGAGGTACTCCCGAAGATGTTCGAACCGCAGTGACTCGGATGAACATAATGTGGAAAGACCGCCGGCCGATTGTATCGTCATTGTTGCCTGTTAGCGGTGGACAAAAGAACGCCAAGCAGCCTGCCTTGAAGTGCGATGTTCACCATTCAACTACCGGTTTAATTTCCACCAGTCCACGGTAGGTCACTGCCCCGATGCATTCCGACGCACGATCGCAAAACTGACCCAACGCAGATTTCCTACTTCTGATAGACCTAAGTGTGCGATTATTGCCCACTGACGGGAAGCACTAAAGCTATGAATAAACAAGCCTTTTCAACTTGACCTTAATTTTAACCGTATTTCAACGGATTTCTTTGGATCATTATTTGACTTTTAATATAGCAACGACTGCCCAAAGTGAGTGATATGGGAAAGAGGGTACATTCCGGGCTTTGGATTTAACCCCTCCTGCGGTGGAATTGAGCCTTGAGCCTCGAGCCTCCCATCTTTATTACACACTCTTAATCATCTTCCTGATCTCCCTGAGCCGTCGCCGCGGTGAAGCTTGTTAGAGAGTTGCAAAAGCAACTTAAGGCTAGGCCCAGACGTTCCCGTTCCACTCGCTTGACAGGCCTGCAAAGGCTTAGCAGCAGTTAACGTCGTGGTTCCCACTTCAGCACTGACGGGGCGGAGCAAAGTTACTGTGTATTGATTTGCACATATCGCGGGCTTGGGAAAGTGCGCCTTGCTCCTTCCGAACCCCAATCAGGAAAGCCTTGTGCTCATGTCCAAGTTCAATGTAGTATTTTTCTTATGCCACCTCAGCATTGTCACATCGCGAGTCTTGATGGCAAATAGGGATGAATAATGCTAAGGGAAACCCACGCGTTCAGAATCCTGTTCACGAAGCATTTGAATCGGCGCCTGGCTGAGGCTTATGCAGGTACACGTCCAGAACGGTAATATTGAACAAGGAGGTGGGGCCACCATTGCCTTTTTCTTGAGTCCCTATTGGCTTCTTTATCAGTCAAATCCGTCTTCAATCTCCTAGGTCTCCCTCACTGTCACCTCGGGTGCTGCGGCGTTACTCACTGATTCCATCGTTCAACTAAACCTGGGGGCACTTGCTAACGCCGATGCATTCGTTACTCGACAAGGTATAAATCTCCGCTTCCCAGAACGTGGCTACGAGCTTAGGTACAAGTACAAGGATTGGAGATAAGCTTAAAAGCCAAACCGTGCGTACTCTTATTCTAGGTGACATCAACGTCCCAAATGTCGGTAACCCGACCGCACTATGCAACGTCAGTCCAATAGGTCCTCGGTCACCGTCTGCAAAGGCAACGCAGCAAGCCACTAGG